TGAATTCTGGAATTTCCCGTTATACTGGCCCTCTATGTCAGATTGTATGGAATAGTTTCATGTGAAGACGTCTGAGACGTAACATCGGGAACATTCCGATTGTATACAGTAACAATGATTCCTAAATTTTATATATGTTGAACAAAACTAGACGGGAAATGTCAACAAGTCTGTAGAATGGCGGCCAATTTGAAAAATAAAAAATAAAAAATAAAAAAGGCCGCTTCCTCAATTTAAAAAAAAAGCCGGACATGAAACATGTTTTTTTTTTTACTTGGCCTAATGTCCGGAGGTTATAATCACGCTGGTACTATTGTGATTGACACGTTCTAATCTGTAATAATCTTAAATGTAGTACTGAGTTTTATAGATAGTATGTTTGCCTCCGAGTGTTACTGTGTCAGTATGCACCTGTCTCTTATACACATCTAGATGTGTATAAGAGACAGATCTTGCACTCCACCACAGACTGTTAAAAAAAAAAAAAAAAAAAAAAAAAAAAAAAAAAAGGCGTAATAAAGGAATAAATAAAAGGACAAGAGAAGTCGCGCCAGTGTTGACACAATGTGATTTGATTAGGCGCCCTCTATGGGCGGTCTCTCGATACTTCATCTTGGATTGATCGGACCGTTGTTTTGTTGGCTGTAATAAAGCTTTGTTGTACACTACTGCTAGTGTGTCCGATTGTAGTCTTTGTACTGTGGTTGTTTCTTTTCCCCACTGGCGAAATGAAAATACTATTGAAAAAATAAATATCAAATTAAAACAGAACAAATAAATACAATTATAACCATGTGGTGAATGGATGGAGAGTACCCAGTGCGCTCCAGCAGAGTTATCAACGCCGCGGTGTCGAAATTTGCCGACAAGATCCAACATGTTCAAAGGAATCCGAACAAGGGGGACTAGACGAGCCTCGGTCGGGGTCCCGGAATAAAAATCCCCTGGTAGGGTTCCCCGTAGGATTAGATAACGTTATTGGAATATAAGCAAATTATTGTTTTTCATTTTTAATTTACATTTACCTTTAATTTTTAATCGTCCGCCGATGACCTCGTCTGGCGTCGGACGACAGAAGGGGTCCAGGTGTGTCCGACGGAGAGGGAGGGTGGGAGGAATTCCTCCAACCCTGGCGCCACCACTGGCTATTAGGGGTCCATAGCAAGTTCCTTAATATTTTCAAAGAAAAAAAAATGACCAGTGGTCTCCTCAAAGATCATTTAGGTTTTCAGAAGTTGGAGCCTTAATGTCAGACTCAGGTGGAAAAAAAATTATATATTGTAGAACTGATTTTTCTAAGACAGAAAAAATAAGTTTGATCAAAAACTGAGCAATGATGAGTGAGACACATATTTTTGAATATTGAAAAACTGGGGGGAAATGGGCGGTTACGCCCGGCCCTTTATCCCCCAGCTTTTAAATATTCAAAAATCGATACTCGTTCACCGTTCTCTTATTTATTCTTATCTATTTCACTTTATTCAAATTCAAATACCTCATTTGTAAAAATTCGTGGCCAATGGCCAAATTGCAAGTTACAATTACACGAGGGAATGCAAAAAAACATATAAAGTATACATTAAAAATGAAGATAATTATTGTCATCTAAATAAAGTTACTATTATTATAAAAATTAACATTAACAATGAAATTTAATAAGGAAAAATTTACATTAAAAAGGAAGATTACAATTATCATTTATAAATATAAAAATATATAAATATAAAAAAAATATCATTTTATAAATAAAGGGTCGATTCAATTTAATCAAGTTTAATTTAATTTAATCTAACCAATCTAACCTGAGAGGAGGGTATCTCATTAATTTTACAAATTCTTATTCATAAGGTTAATAAAGTAAGGGATGGGACTGTCAGAAAAACGTTTTGTATGAGAAGCCAAAGGCGTCAAATGTTACTACGGTTCCGTAGGTTTCAACCACTTAATTCAAATCTGGTAGGTGGTGATAATCTGCAGAATGTTTAGTATTGGAAAGACCTTTAGCAAAACTGAGACAATGAGATACCCTCCTCTCAGTAAGAGCAGAGATATTTAACTTTGTGCAAGCTTTATTTCAAAAGAAAAATGGATTTCTTTGAAATAAGACATCAATTCCTGTACTTGTATAAAGCAACATTCCATGAATGAAATATTAGTGGCACCTAATAGTACAATAATACATATATAAAGCATTTATGTTCGTAAAAGAACCGTTCTTCGTGGGTTAGTTATTAGCTGCAACTTAGCGGCCT